CAACCTCTGCCTCCTGGGTTCCAGCAATTCTCTTGCCTCAGCCTCCAGAGTAGCTGGGACTATAGGTGCATGCCACCAAGCCTGGCTAATTTTTTGTATTTTTTTTAGTAGAGACAGGGTTTCACTGGGTTGCCCAGGCTGGTTGTGAACTCCTGAGCTCAGGCAATCTGCCCGCCTCAGCTTCCTGAAGTACTGGGATTATTGATTTGAGCCACTGCGCCTGCCAGGGGTACTACTCTTAATCTTATTTGATTAATGAGCACGACAGAGGGAAGGCAATTTCCAAAAGATTCTAGAGATGGCATGATATAGAACTAATTGTTAGATTTACCAAATAAAAATTTACATTACAGAAACTTTAAAATATTGATTTTAAATAAATTAAAAACACTATTTACATGGTTAAAAAATACATGCACTAACAACAATATATAATGAGCTCACTAAAGGTTTGCTGAGTGAATGAATGAACAAACAAAGGGATGGAAATGTGCTGTTACTCTGAAGGCAAAAATGGCACTACTGGCCTATCATCTTTAGATCCTGTCCTATTATTCTGAATTTGTGTCTCCCAAGCTCTCTTACCTAATTACCTCTGTGATCCTGACTCACAAACAGGAAGCAGCTAAAAATGGTGTAATATATAACTGAACAATGAAGAGATTTCTAAAAATCACAACTATGAAGTATCTATACAATAAGAAATCAAGGAAAGTTTCCTACAGTGAGAAATGCTTAATGATATTAACATCATAGCTGTCGACATTACTTACCAAAGAAATGTGGTTCTCTGGAGAAATATTACTAAATTTGGCAAGAAATTTCTCAGCAGCATTCCTTTTGGCTTGCTTTTTTGATGCCCCCTTTCCTGAACAGAGAAAAAGAAATGGTAGATTTAGAAAAGAAATTAGTGTCCACAGAGGATGATCAAATGTATTAAGTATTGTGTTTATTCAGAGAATCTCATGGTTTTTATTGTATGCTAGACCATTTTCTTACTGACATGATATCTTTGTTTTGCTATTTTGTTTGTATAGCTATTATTTTTTTCTTGAGATGAAGTTTCGCTCTGTTGCCCATGCTGGAGCGCAGTGGAGCAATCCTGGCTCACTGCAACCTCCACCTCCTTGATTCAAGCAATTCTGCTCCCTCAGCCGCCCAAGTAGCTTACTGATACCCATCACCATGCCCAGCTAATTGTTTGTATTTTTAGTAGAAACAGGGTTTTGCCACGTTGGCCAGGCTGGTGACTCCTGACCTCAGGTGATCTGTCTGCCTCAGCCTCCCAAAGTGCTGGGATTGTAGGCATGAGCCACCACGCCTGGCCTGTATAGCTACTAATTCTTACACTTTTGAAGGCATTTAAGTTTTTCTGTAATAGTTGTATTTTCCTATGTCTAGCATTACTGAACTATATTTGGTTTAATTCTGACCGATTATTCAGATTTATTAAAATACATCTGAATTGTAACTCCTCTCTCTCTCAATGTCTATTTCCTGCTTGTGATCTTCTCTAAACTGACAATTATGTGGAATTCCTTTTAACAGGAATAAGAAAGGCACAGGAGATGCTGGAGTTGAAAGATATCATAACTATCTACCTCCATGTTTTTGTTTTATAGATTAAAAAACTGAGGTCCAGAGAGATTAAGTAATTTGCTTAACCTTGCAAATCAAGGACTGCAAGGATGGAAGCTGAGGTTCCTGCTTTTGGCCCACTGCATTCTGTACTGGCATACGCTACCTCCCAAAGGCCAATAGTTGCTTATTACTTGAAACTATTATCTGGCTAAGGTAAAAATCCCATTTTAAGCCACTTTAAAAAATGACAAAAACATGCCAGAGAAGTTAACAGGAATTCTCACTAGTACATTTTTTTTTTTTTTTTGAGATGGAGTAGCGCTCTGTCACCAGGCTGGAGTGAAGTGGCATGATCTTGTCTCCCTGAAACCACCTCCTCCCAGGTTTAAACAATTCTCCTGCCTCAGCCTCCTGAGTAGCTGCGACTATAGGCGTGTGTCACCATGTCCAGCTAATTTTTGTATTTTTAGTACAGATGGGGTTCCACCATGTTGGCCAGGATGGTCTCGATCTTTTGACCTCATATCTGCCTGACTCAATCTCCCAAAGTGCTGGGGTTACAGGCATTAGCCACCGTGCCCGGCCACTCGTACTTTTTAAAGTGACAGTTTTTCTTATAGTTTATGTCCTTTATAACATAGGAGTTGCTGTAATTAAAAAAGATAATTTTCATTTTTATCTCACTGCAATTATTTGCCATCTAGTCTCTTATTAATCATCTCATTTTCAAGTGTAATCTTCCTCTAGTCCTCCTATTTTCTAGAATAGCTGTTAAAATCCAGAGATTTATTATGGCTTTTTCTCCAAAATGAGTTTTGTTTTTTTTTTAAGTTACTAATTTATCAATGAAGACTGTTTAAAGTACAGAGCCGACAGTCTTTCTATTAATAATCTATGATTTTTAAAAATATCAAATTAAGAAGTCTAAGTATCTTAAGCCAAATACTTATATTTAAGTTCAACCTCAGAAAGTCAGAGACAATAAAGGAGGAGTGTATCAATTTTTTCTGCACAGAAATATTTGAAAACATTACAACAGAAATTTCTATGGTTATTCATTATCTGAAAATATTTCAAATGTCTTTAATTATAAGAAGTAAGTACCAGTTTCCATAAATGATTCTAGCCTGCAAATTGTGGTATATTCTCTCTTATGAGCAGGTCCTCCCTCCTGGGAAAGAGTATATTCAGGAAGTCTCCAGCCATGATGAATAGCCAATTCCTGTAAAATCAAGATGATGCTTTAATAGTAATTTTACTATGCAATGGCTCAATCACATAAATATTTTCATAATTTTGATCCAATTTCTATGCATATGTTGAAAAGAATAGTGATTTTCTGCAATGGAAAAAAGAGGGAAGACACTCTATTTCTCAGACATTTTCCTCATTTTATATCTTTATATCCCAATACCAAAACTGAAGCAGTCGTGAGCTATAAATGGTGTTCTTCCATTAAACTACAGTGAGCTGATATCAGACTTCAACTAGAAAAACAGGCTACTACCACCCTCTTTGGGCACACCAGAGGAGACATCTACAGGTTTCACTGCCATCAGTTCCTAAAGCCCCTCTCCTCCAGACTACAGACTTCCAAACCCACAGCTGGCCAACTACTGCATTTGAACAAGAACACATGGGGAGCAGGGACAACAAACAACAGACCTGGATGAGGTGGGGGACAGAAGGTGAGGAAAACTACAGAAAAGCTTGTAGTGCAGGAAAAGGAGACCAACGGACTGGCTGAACCATGGGGAGGGGAATGGTCTAACAGATCACATGGATAATCTGCAAGCAGGATAATCTGCATATAGAAATTCAAAGCTGAATATATGTGTGTGTGTGTGTGTGTGTGTGTGTGTGTGTGTAGATATAAATATATTTTTTTAGTAGAATAAGCAAATAAGCAGCCTACTTTCCTTTTCTTGAATTAGGTTCACTGACTTAGGCTCTTTATAAAAAGTCTTCTGTCTCAACAGAAGTAGAATTTTTCACAAGAGTAGCAAGAACTATTCTTAAAGTATAAAACACTCTACCCATGTGCACTGAGGGCCTGTTGATCTTAAATGAGAATTCCACAAGCCAAAGGCAAATACTGTATATAAAAGAAAATCCAAAACATAAATAGGAAAATAATTTCAAGTTAGCTCTATAAAGCTAATGATCATAAATTGGAAAACAAAATATATCACTATCTTGTCTTTAAAATATTAATTCCTTGTGTTAGCCCTTGTGATATTACAAATTTATTATATATTTTATCAGTAGGTAAAGAACTGTACAACCTACCTGTAATGAACCAATAGGATTAAGCTGGTTCTTTGGTTGCTTGGACGGGTCAGGCATTAAGGGGTCAGGAACTGCAAAGCTAAACATTTTTAAAAAGTGTTATAAAACAAAGTAATTTCCCCCGAATTACGAAGTAAATGACAAGCGTTTTCTAATTAACTCCCTATGTCTTTTACTTGTCATTCCTTCTACATGGAATGCCCTTTTCTCAGACCTCTTCTATGGGAATCTGATCTATCCATCACCCAAGATCTATCTCAAATGTCACTTCCTTCAAGAAGCCTATCCTTTTACCCCAATGGTTTATAATCTCTCCCTTCTCTGAAACACTGTAACATATGGTTTAATCTTTCCTCCAGGAAATTATTTTACCATAAATTATATACTCTTACAAATACATATAATTTGTCCATCCTTCACCTCACCTCTCTCCTCTTCAGACTATAAGCTCCCTGAGGTAGGGCTTATGTATCACTTACCTACATAAGCTTTGTGGTGTTTTGTACATAATAGGCATGTCATAATATATTTAAAGAATACTCTTGTTACAACTATACAAAAAATGGAAGATGAACAATGATCCAGAAAATTTAGCCTGACAATGTGAATAATACAGATTATAAATATTGTTTTTTTAATAGAACTATGAAGAGCTATCTGTTTGAACTATCAGCTGCTTAGTGCTGGGATAATTCTCTAAGATTTACAGGTATCCTGCATAAAATAGATGGCTTAGATAAATTTGGTTTTAGCATGTGGTTATTATCATTAGGGAAAAAGAGAACAACCACTTCTAGGGAGTCTGAAATTACTGGTTCCTTGGCAGATCAGTGCTTAAAATTGAATAAGTGGCATTCCAAGGTAATTACCACCTAGGCAACTGGAAAGTCATTTTTCCATGACAAATGAGGTTTAGTTATTGCCACTTCCTCAAGGATTTTTTTCCAACTGCCAGAATTTCAAGCTTTACATAGGCTGATGAGATATGAGTATTCACTTACAATGCTGCATGCCGAAGCTACCCAAATAATTGTGATGGAGAAGTGAGAAAGTCTCTGTATTAAGTCAGGCCACTTTAGGCCTGATTACAGCTTAGTAATTCCCATTTTATCTGTCAAGAAGCACAAATATAGTAAAGTTTGTTAGCTTTTTCTGCTGACAAAGTGAAGTGCCCAGATGCAGAAAAGACACTCCGTACCTCATTTCTACAAATGTACTTAATGGTTTGGGTTCACCTTCAGGCTGTACAGAAACAGCACGGCCATTACTAGTGGGGGAGAACCCAATACCTGCCATGTCATTTGGCATGTCTTTTTTTTCGTTTTGTTTTACTTGCTTGTTTGGAGACAGAGTTTTGCTCTATCGCCCAGGCCAGAGTGCAGTGGCCCAATTTCGGCTCACCACAATCTCTGCCTACCGGGTTCAAGCGATTCTCATGTCTCAGCCTCCCAAGTAGCTGGGATTACAGGTGCGCACCACCATGCTCAGCTAATTTTTTGCATTTTTAGTAGAGACAGGGTATTACCATGTTAGCCAGGCTGGACTCAAAACTCCTTACTCAAGTGATCTGCCCACCTTGGCCTCCCAAAGTGCTGGGATTACAGGTGTAAGCCAATGTGCCTGGCCTTGTTTTTCTTTGAGAAAGGTCTCGCTCTGCTACCCAGGCTGGACTGCAGTGGCACAATCTCAGTTTACTGCAAACCCCACCTCCTGGGTTCAGGGGACTCTGCTGCCTCAGTCACCCAAGTAGCTGGGATTACAGGCACCTGCCACCATGCCTGACTAATTTTTGTACTTTTAGTAGAGATGGGGTTTTGCCATGTTGGCCAGGCTGATGGTCTCAAACTCCTGGCCTCAAGTGATCCACCCACCTCCACCTCCCAAAGTGCTGAGATTATAGGCGTGCGCCACCCCGCCTGGCCTGGTATGTCTTAAAAGCTGGCATAGATCAATTATAATACATGGCCCTAGATAATAAAGCATCATCTTGTGAAATGCAAGGCTTATCGTGGGCAGCTGCTTATCCAGAGGGTTGCTATGTCACTGATTAGTTCGAGACTACCCAAAAGGTTCAGAATGACTTATAAAAAGATAGAAATACTACTTGAGCACCTAACTACACCTCTAATCCAAAAGCAAAAGTCTTTCTATGACTAAGGAATAAAAAACCCATCTCAAATTCCCTGGTCTCTACTGTCAGCTATGAGCAATTATACCAGATTTGTACTTCAGGCATATGTGACTGCACGCACGAGAAGAGCTTGAAAGCACGTCACGCACCCAGGTGTGCCCAGTGGAAACCAAAGGACACTACTTTATGATACGTGAGATGTCCAGTACCAATATTCTGTCCAGAAACACCTAAAGTAGTAAAAAAATCTTACTTTGGAAAGGTATGTCAAGAATTAATATCCTGCTTAACATTCTCTTCTTTTGGCATATATTATATAATAAAAGAAAACCTCTGCCTGCTTTTTCAAAATTAGAATTCCTAAAGAGTACTTTTAGTTATCTTTCTCCATCTCACTTTGTTTTCTTCAATGTGGAAATAATCAAAGAATGTTAATATTAATATATGCAAGAAACACTCTGATTTTCTACTGTTGCCCCCATTAAAAAAATAACAGTAAACCCTAGTTCATAAGTGCCTTCGTTTATAGCTAATTGCTGGATTTGACTGGATAAAGTTTTCTTTAATGGATAAGTTTTCACAAGGAAATAGAATTTGAGAGGCAGGATGCTAGCTGTTAACCTTGTTGCTTTTGTGAGCATGTTCAAATTTTTAATCTTACCTCAGCCATGATATTTTTGAGCTGCTGAATACAAAGAAATTTAGCTCACCAAATACTTGCATTGGCTTTCAAAATGTTTATGGCAGCCTCTGCAGCTCTATGTTTCGCCAGCTTCTTACTTGTACCTTCACCTGAATTAAGATATAAAAAAAGAAGTCTTTATCTCCCACAAAAATGTGCAGCTTACATAGATGTTTTCAAAACACAAAGTCACTATAGATTTTACATACATATACTTGGTAATAAAAACATATACTACATGCAGTTATACGCTGTAATATAATATTTGCCACGTGAAAAATATTTTAAAAAACACAATTTTTAAAGTTCTGTGTATTTAATTCTATGCATACCTACATAAAAATCCTTATTTTTACATTATATATGTTTATTATATAACATGGTAATAAAGTAGACTGTGCCACACTTCTGAAGACATGCAACTTAGTGTTTTACTTTTCCTTTATTCCCGGAGGGGAAATTATTCTGCAGCAAGAAGTTTATTTTAAAGGAACCATTTACAGCCAAATTGTTGGATAGCAAAGTGTGCATAATTTTATTCTGACAGTCTGTCCTATAACGTATCAAACTGCTCTACTAGGCTGAGCAGTCACAATTATATGTTGGGTACTTATGAAATAAGGTGACAGCTTGTTATGTATCTTCTGGACTATCTGTATCTTCTGCATGGGTAGCTAAGTTGAGACTAGGGATATGACTGAGGTCTAATTTCAGTAAGCGATCACAACGGCAAATGATAAATTCATAAATTAAATCTTTTTCCTTTTGAGTTCAAACTCTCAAACCCTCATGGAATAAGTTTCAAGTGTGGCCCTCAAATGTGAGAAGATACAGAAACCACACATTTATCTGCTAACAGAGGTATTAGGGATATAGCATACAGCGTCCCTGCCCTCAAGAGCTAACAGCCTAGTGTGGAATTTTTGTCTGTTAATAGACACCTGAAATATGGAATGGGATATGTTACAAGCCTAAGTGCAGGCTGTAGGAGAGTACATAAAAGCAGCAGCTCTCTTACTCTTGGTAAGAATTCAGAAAGGTTTCATGAAGGAAGAGATAACTAAATGGAGACCTAAACGATGAGTAACAGCTAATAAAGTGAAGAGAGATGGGGGATTAGAAAGAGCATTCTAGGTAGAGAAAAAGAGCACCTGCAAAGGCTCAAAGGCAACATACAGTACAGTGTTCTCAAGAATCCCAACTAGTTGGCTTTGGCTAAAGTGTAAGAACTTTTTTAAAGTGTAAGAAGCAACGCTGTAAGTCATGTTAAGAAATGTGCATTACAGGTCGCTCACACCTGTAATCCTAACACCTTGGGGGGGTCGAGGTGGGTGGAATGCCTGAAGTCAAGAGTTAGAGACCAGCCTGGCCAACATGGCAAAACCCCGTCTCTACTAAAAACACAAAAATCAGCCAGGCAAGGTGGTACATGCCTGTAATCCCAGCTACTCGGGAGGCTGAGGTAGGAGAATCGCCTGAACCCGGGAGATGCAGGTTGCAGTGAGCCAAGATTGTGCCACTTCTTACCAGCCTAAGTGTAAGAGCGAAACTCTGTCTGGGAAACAAACAAACAAACAATCCAACAACATGTATTTATTCAGAGGGCTATAGGGAAATCACTGAATGGATTTCGAGATGAGGAAGACATCTGAATGCTAGAAAGTACACTGGTTGTTAGGGCTGGATGAGGTGGCTCACACCTGTAATCTCAACACTTTAAGAGGCTGAGGTGGGAAGATTGCTTGATGCCAAGAGTTCAAGACCAGCCTGGCAATGCAGTGAGACCATGTCTCTACTAAAAATCAGAAACATTAGCTGTGCATGGTGATGTGCACCTGCAGTCCCAGCTACTCAGGAGGCTGAGGCAGAAGGATTGCTCTAGTCCAGGAGACTAAGGCTGCAGTGAGCTATGATCACACCACTACACTCCAGCCTGGGTGACAGAGCAAGACCCTGTCTCAAAAAAAAAGAACACTGGATCTCACGTGACAAAAAGACATCACGACACTAGAAGATAAACATACAGCTACAAGACTGCAGCTACAATCCAAGTGAGAGATGACGGTGGCCTAGGCAGTAGCAATGGCCAGAAGAGAGAAGCAGATAGATGCAATGGATATTTAGGAGATGGAGTTTAATGACAGACTGGACAACAGGGAGAGAGATGGGACGTAGTTAGGAAGACAAACCCACATTTCTACTGAACAAGTTGATTGTGGAGCCTTTACAGAGAAAGGAAATGCAGGGAGAATGGGTCTGAGGGAAAAGATGAATTCAGTTTGGGACAATGAGAGGCTTGAGGGGCTTCTGTGTCATCCAAGCAAAGATGCTCAGCAAGCATAGACAGATACACTGTTCTGTAACTGGGCTTGGGATGAAGATAGATATTTCAGAATTATCAGCCTTTGGATAGTATTGGAAGCCATGGAGGCAGATAAGCTTGCACGGGAAGCCATGGTAGTGTAAGAAGAGGGCATAAGCAGAACAGTTGCCATAGGCTGTCAATTTGGGGTCTAAAACACATTGAGGGGAAAAAAGCCTCCTTTTTCTTGAATTCTTCTCGATTATCTAGAAATAGACTAAAGAAGTAATGCAGTGTTGACTCTGGTTCCCATGCGGACCCTTCCGGCCAGCACCTACAATGTAACTGTCTCACACAAAAAGTTTTAAACTTTTCTTAAAGTGGCATCAATTAAAATAAAGGACACTAAACTTCCAGGGACACAAACAAATGCTGCCTTCAGATTTACCAGATGGTAGAACTTGAGCCTTCCAACTAAATTTTTTTCTTGGCATTCTTCCAAATTAAATTTAGCATCCAATGTTTTGTGTTTGCAATTAAATAGATACATAAGAAAAATAATGTCCACATTTACAAATGAGCAACTTTTGCTCAAGCTCACAGACCAAAAGAAGGCATGAACTTTGAAACTTCATTGCTATGTGACTTCATTGCTATAGGCATGTTACTTATAATCACTCTGAACCTGTATCTTCTTGTGTAAAAAGTGGATAATATACAAAATATCTGTTCAGTTTCAAAAAACTAGAAGTTATTATGCAATATGAGGACCTTCCTTCTGCCCTTCCTCATTTTGCTTGGATACAGAATCAAGGGTGGTACAATGGGCCTAAGGTGCAAATGACAATTCTGGGGTCATGCCTCCTGGCATCTGCTATGAACTTCACAGTACCTACTGACCCAGCTATGACTGCTCCGAACCTTTCCTGCTTTTCTCTAATTCTTAGAAGAACCCTAGGAGGATTCTAGGGTATGAGAGGAGCTGTGCAGGATGGCTGGGTAACTTTTTAGTTTCTGAGCTTCTTCGGTATCTGAGGAAGAGAAAATTAATTAGGAAGAGAATCAGATGAGGCTGGGAAGTCCTAGCGACCTGAGATGAGAGCTCTGTTTCAGAGCCTGTTCCTTACAGCTGTCTGGTAAAAAGAGCACTTTTCTGAACTGAAAAGCAACACCAAATCTTGAATGCCAACCCACTTGGTCATACAGGTTAACTGTGTATACAGACCTGTGCAGGTTATGTCACCAACGGTTACTCTGAAGGTGAAAGTGGGTACGTGTATTTGCACATCAGATCTTTCACATTCATAAACCGGGATGTTCTTGGTCTTCATGCCGTATTCGTGTAATACCTGAATCGGTGTTTTCCCTGGCTTAGCTGTTATCATCTTCCCCAAACTGCAAAAACCAGAAAAAGGTGTGCTTTGCATGCCAAATTGGAGATTAAAGCAGAAGCGTGCAGAGGCCAGTTTTGACCGCCACCGACGATGACGCTGGAGGCGCGGAGTTCCCCCGGCGGCCAGGGCCAGAGCTGGCGAGGCTGGGGCGCACCTGTCTTCCGGCCCCGCTGCGGCAGTCACCCCGCTGGGGCAAGCGCGGGTGAGCGAGGTCTTTAGAGAAAGAACTTGAATGCGGGTAAGAGATTCTCAACAGAACAGGGCTGGCAGCAGCGCCGCAGCCTCAGGAACAATCGCAGGAGCCTTTCCCGGGCGCGGCGACCGCGCACCACCTCCGCCAGCCCCGCGCACCTCCGGGGGCCAAGAGAGGGGCGGGGTCCGGCCGCAGACCCCAACCCGCGCCGCCGAGAGGGCGGGGCCGAGCGCCCGCAGCCGCGGAGGTTGGGCGGCCGGGCAGGGGCTTTACCCAGAATGCTGCTGGAGGGCCGGATCCGCGAGCCCCGGCCCCGCCTCCCGACGCTCCCGGCCCTGGGGCCCGGACTACCCGCACGCTGACCTGAAGGTCCCGCTGTCCTCGCGCTCCAGCGGCGGGGCCTCGGCGCGGTGCCTGCTCTGGGACATGGCGAGAAAGGACGGCTCAGCGGCGGGAGGAAGAGCGGTGCGGAGCAACGTGGTTGCTCCCCGGGTCCCCAGGAGGAGCTCTAGCGCCACCGCCTCCTCTAGCTCCCCCTGCTCCTGCCTGCGTTCCTCCGGCGAGGGGGCGGGCGGGGCGGGGGCGGAGCCTTGGTGCCGTAGCTCCGGCTACGCCCCCTCGCTGCCCAGCTCTGGGCCTCTGTCCCGGCCCAGACCCGCCCCTGTCCCCTCCAGGGTCCTTCCCCTCCCCTCCCGGCTCCGCCCCCCTGGGCTCGGGCATTTAGGCTCCCGTGGCTTCACTGCGTCCGCCCTTGCCGGCCCTGGCCAGCCCGCAGTAACTGGCCCCCAGGCCGCAGTTTTTTGTCCTTAGCAGGAGGCCGTTTCTTGCCCGGAGAGAGGAATTGTCCAGCGTGGGTCTAGGGTGTTTGAGGCCTGAAGTTAAGCCTTTGTGGGGAGGACGGATTGGGGGCTGGGTCACTTTAGGAAAACGATTTCAAAATAACGAAGGTGGAATTGCTAGGGAGACTCCCCGGGCCCGGTCCCGAAGCTTGAGATCCGGGATATATCTGCCCCAGGGGGCTGCGGTGGGCTCTCCGGGTCCCCGAGCCCTGTGTTTAGGAACATTCGGAGACGTCCAGTGACCCCTCCTCTCCCGACAGGCGGGCTCCTTTGTCTTCTGGGTTTTCGTCGCGGGATGGAACGCTGGTCAGTGCATCCCAGCAAAACACGTTAGGCGTAAACGAAGGCCTTTCTCAGGTCCTGTGGTGTTATGGCGTTTGCCTGGGATGCAGCACCTTTTGTGGGCCATTAGATGTTGTGTCTCTTCTCCAGGGGCTTGCTAGGCATTTGCAGAAATGCCCCCCTGTGCTTACCGTGTGTTCTGGAAGATTGCTTTGTACAATGCTATTCATACGAAAGGATGTTACTAAAAGTGATTTATGGCCGGGCGCAGTGTCTCACCTGTAATCTCAGCACTTTTGGAGGCCAAGGCGGGCGGATCGCTTGAGGTCATTTGCTCGAGACCAGCCTGGACAACAAGGTGAAACCCTGTCTCTACTAAGAATACAAAAATTAGTTGGGAGTGGTGGTGTGCACCTGTAATCCCAGTTACTTGGGAGGCTGAGGCAGGAGAATCGCTTAAACACGGGAGGCGTATGTTGCAATGAGCGGAGATCGCGTCCCTGCACTCCAGCCTGGGCGACAGAGGGAGACTTTGTCTCAAAAAAAGAGAAGTGCTTTCTTATTTTGTTAGCATGTGAGCTCTGGATGTTTGAAAGCAAGTGAAAGATGTTCAGAATCTAATCAAATGATATCGTTTGATGCTTTAATTAGGGCTTATTCTCTCTTCCTCTCCATTATCGTCTATATATGTATGAATAGAGATTACTATCCATCACTCTTTTAATGAGTATCTTATTGGAAGGGCTACACAGTCACTATTTCAAAATATATTAACGTACGCATAACACCTATGGAAAAACATTTCAGCACTTGGGTAAAATTCATTTTTAGTTACAAAATCACTTAAAAACAGGCCAAAACTTTAAATTGCTCTTGTTAAAAGTTGAATAACTGGGATAATAATGATGAAATAAAAAGATGCAGCAGGACTCCATTTCAAAGAAACAGAGTCTGTGTGCCAAACTTCAGAGTAAGAAATCACTAGGTAATAGTTTATATAGTTACTTATATGTAATGTGGCTTTGCGTTTAAAATAAAGATCTGCATATAATTGTTTATAGTCTGTGAATCCATATTTAATATTAAACACAGTTTTGTAAACATATAAGATGGAAGGTGAATGAAATGCTCAGTGAACTGTGTGCCATGAGGATTCAAAACAGCACTTTTGTGTTGCCAAAATTCCAGTGGTGGACTTGTGAAGGGATTCCCTTTGGACTAGGTCCACTATAGATGGTATCCGGGACTATTGCTAGTGCCAAAATTGCATTGCTTCCCACAGGGCTATATGCTTCCCTTAAAATTGGTCCACCGCCAGTGGCAAATCACTATCTACTGTGATCCTTATCATAGACTTTGGTCATATTTTTATGTTATTAGTTTTTTGTGTATATTTTAGTGCTATAGCCTGCCATTCCAAATTAAACATGCTCTTAGCATATCATTTTACACCGTTGATCTATAATTCATTACCTGAGCACATGAGCAGAGGCAGTGAATTATACAGCGGTAAACTACTTGGTGAAACCAAGCTTTGAATTTATAAGGTGTATAATTATATTTAAAAACAAGCAATGCTTAATTTTGTGCCTGATTTTCCTCTTTGAAAATGAATTTATCTGGGGGTTGCAGTTGATGACGTTTTCATATTAATATGTTTGCTGCTGCTACCAAGAGCTTTGTCAAGCAAGTTGGAGATGGAGGGAGATTAGTTCCTGTTCCAAGCCTCAGTGAAGCTGACAAATATCAACCTCTAAGTCTGGTGGTAAAAAAGAAGCGATGCTTTCTGTTTCCTAGATATAAATTTACTTCAACACCTTTTACACTGAAAGATATTCTCTTAGGAGACAGAGAAATTTCAGCTGGTAAGTTTAAATGTTTCAGAGTGACAACTCAGTCATTGGTATTATTGGTAAGCTAAACATAGGTTATATATCCTACTTACATTAGTAATACACATTCTCAATGATTAAAGCATCTTTTATTATGATGGTAGTAGTAACATTATTAAGATCAACAATGCCAAAAGCTTATATAATATCAAATCTCTTATTGGTCAAATAATTTTCAAATCTATCAATTATTTTATAAATTGTTTTAACCAAGTCAATGTAGAATATGGCATATTCATCTATAAAATGGGGTATTATTGGGCTTACCTATCTTATATGGTCAAATGAGATGAAAGTAATTTGTATTGATTTTTTACAATTCAATTGTTGTAATTGGTAAACTGAAATGTATTTGAAGGGTAGGTTATATAATAAATTGATATTTTAATGAGTTACTGCTTATAAACACTTATTTTTTCTTTTAATCACCCAGTGGATCTTGATGCTTAATAAGTTCTGTTGGCTGAACAGAAAATTTGAGTTCCTTTTAAGATTTCTGGCTGTGTTTCTTTTTGTTGTAAGATTAATTGAATTACTATTTTAAATCTTGGTGAGTCATGTTGCCTTTCTCTAACATTTGTGTAATTGAGTCTTCAATTGTGAATTAACATGTTACTATATATAATCTACATAAGATAAATTAAAGACATTTTGAAAATACTAAGTTTCTTCTTGTAAAGGTATTTCATCTTATCAATTACTGAATTATGAAGATGAATCGGATGTTTCACTCTATGGAAGGCGAGGAAACCATATTGTAAATGACGTTGGGATTAATGTTACTGGATCAGATTCCATTGCAGTGAAAGCTTCATTTGGTATAGTAACCAAACATGAAGTGGAAGTATCAACATTACTCAAAGAAATTACTACACGGTCAGTATAATAATCCTAATACATTTCAGTGTTTTCATTAAATACTTTAGCCATATAAACTTCATTTCAAAGAATGTTTAAAACATTGAGGTTGTATTTTACTATTGTAATTTGCTAGATATGTTTGAAATACATTAATACTATATTCAAATTTTGAATAAGGATAAATATCAAAAATCATTTGGCTTAAACAAAATTTTTAATTGTTCCACAAAATTACTTTGGCTCTGCACACATTTGCTAAATTATTAGACTGAAATAATACAGGAGTCTGTCTGCAACAAATATGGAGTCCCCTTCAACAGACTTTCAACAGACAGTTGAAAGTCTTATATTCTATATAAGCATGTTTTAAGAAAATAGAAAGCAGAAACAAATTATGACATATCTTTTGGGTGTATTTTCTGACTATTAGGCTTGCCTTGATTTACTATTAGTTAAACTATGAATGAGCAACACTAGATAGCAAAAAATGTCCTTGATTATATGTAATTAGATATTATAGAGTCTTGTGAATGTATCTTCTTTATTTTAGAAAAATTAACTTTGATCACAGCTTGATACGTCAGTCAAGGAGCAGCAGAAAGGCAGTATTGTGTGTGGTCATGGAGAGCATCCGAACCACACGACAGTGCTCGCTGTCTGTGCATGCTGGAATTCGAGGAGAAGCAATGCGGGTAAACCACACTCATTGGTCTTCTCTTACTAAGTAAAATGTTGCCATGGGAATTTTTTACAAGTATGGAATTCCTAGTCAGATTTGTGTATTTTGTCAAATGTTTTGATGAAAGAGCTGTAGTTGCATAGGATTTTGCACAGTAATGTCTGTTCTAGAATATGGGAAAAAAAAAAAACTTGGATTCTAAATGTGTGTAATATAATGCAAAAACACTAAAGCTTGTGAAATTATGTGCATACTGGAGTCCGTCAAATTACTATTTAAGTGTTATTTTAAGAATAAAAAAATTGAGTGTTTGAGTTTATTTTTAAGTTATATAGTTTTTGGCCGGGCACAGTGGCTCACGCCTGTAAACCTAGCATTTTGGGTTGCTGAGGCGGGCAGATCACTTGCAATCAGGAGTTCTAGCCCAACTTGGGCAACATGGTGAAACCTTGTCTTTACTAAAAATACAAAAATTAGCCAGGTGTGGTGGTGCACCCCTGTAATCCCAGCCACTCAAGAAGCTGAGGCACAAGAATCGCTTAAACTTGGGAGGTAGAGGTTGCAGAGAGCCGAGATTGTGCCACTGCACTCCAACCTGGGTGACAGAGCAAGACTCTGTCTCAAAAAAAAAAAAGTAACATAATGCAAAAACAGTAATCCTTGTGAAATTATGTGCATATTGGAGTCCCTCATATTACTATTTAGGTGCTGTTTTAAGAATAAAAATTGAGTGCTTAAGTTGAATTGATTTTATTTTTCGGTGATAGAGTTTTTACACTTTGAATTTTTAAAAGCTGAATTTCTATTTTTATATTCAAATAGTTTTTTAAAGTTAATATTATCAATGGCCAAACATGCTTTATTCAAGGTTAGTTAAATCCTTTACAAAATATTAGAGGCTATGATCATGCCACTGCACTCCAGCCTGGGTGACAGATTATAGGTGGATCATGTCTGTAATCCCAGTGCTTAGGAAGACTGAGATAGGAAGGTGACCTGAGGCCAGGAGTTCAAGACCAACCTGAGCAAAATAGA